GACGGCTTCGGCAGCTACCTTGCTGCTCTCCGACTGCGACTCGATGGCCTTCTTGGACATGCTCTTGAGAATAACCATTCGAGAGTAGTAGCATACTATCATCAGTGGTTGGATGGCGATCAAGATGAGGGCCAGCTTCCATGCGATGACCAGACCCAACGTCCATGCTATGGTCACCGCAGAGACTGCCTGAATGATCAAAGACATCCGATCACCCACCAGCATTCGAACCTGCAGCAGGAGAGAGATGCCGATTAGAGAACGACGATGTCCCTATGGACGCCTAGCTGCTAACGGAGATTGCTACTGACCACATTGGCATCGTTGGCGAGTCGAGAGCAGATGGCGCCAGTAGAGTTCTCGTCCCGATCGAACCACCCAACTTCAAACGTGAGAATCTTGGAGAGCATCCTCTGCCTCACCCGCCTTGTCAGGTACTCCCCCATGGCCGCGAAGTTGTAGTGCTGCAGAATATTGACCAAAAAGGAGAGGACCGACATGGCGACGAAGATGAGGCAGTACGTCCTCGTGTTTGACCTGATCTGTTTGTGATCATTCATAAAGTACACCGACAGCATGCTTCCCATCGCGAAGGCGTACAGTGGCTGCACCGCCCCGAAAGCCATCGCGCCCAAGCTTCCCAGCACCGCCTGCCGCCATTCCTGTAAGTTCAACAGCAACAGCCTCCGCAGAGATGGAACCGGGGGAGGAGCAGCCGCCTCGGACTCCTCTTGCGACTCCTGGTGGCGCGAAGAACTAGTGGAGCTTGATCTGCTGCACAACGATAACCTGCGGCTCTCGCTGCTACCGGGTCGAGGGAAGGCCACCAACGCTGCCGATGATGAGCTAGGCGCATCGCTTCCCGCTGCTCCCGCCGTCTGTTGGAAGCGAACGAGGGATGAGTAGAGTCCATCTTCATCACGGATGAGGTCGTCGTGGGAGCCTAGCTCCGCGACTCGGCCGGCTTGCACGACGGCGATCACGTCGGCGTTCCTGATAGTGGACAGGCGGTGCGCGACGACGATGGTGGTCCGACCGAGGGACGCCAGGTCGAGTGCTTCTTGGACGACTCGCTCCGACTCCGAGTCCAACGCGCTTGTGGCTTCATCAAGCAGAAGAATCCTGGGCGACTTCAGCACAGCCCTTGCGATCGCTATCCGCTGCTTCTGACCTCCTGACATCTGAACCCCACTTTCTCCTACCTGTCATGAACGATAACTTTAGAAACACTTCCATGCTATGTCTATACTCATGAATGCATATAGCACACCAAATATATGCAGGTATGGCACGGTATTCACTTCAAAAGATTCAACCAAGATCCTATCACAGAATAAAGTTAAACAAAAATGTGGATCAAGAATTGGCACAAAATGAAAAGAGATGTTATTGTGATTCCTATACCAAGATGAAATCATTGGGAAGTTTGTATACCATCACAAGTACTTCAAGAAGGTTGTATTCATTTCGTGATGTTAACTTACCTTTATATGGCATGGCTATAATGTAAACACTGAGACATTATAATAGGCTAATGCAACTGATAGCAATGACACATTTATGAAAGGTTTCATTAAAGAACAAGCAGATACAAGCACATACACGAGTGTCGGTTTACCCGTCGAGATAATGTAGAGATTGAGACCTTACCTAAATTAATCTGCACAAGGTGTGGAACACTTGTCAAGGGCAAATGACAGTAAATGATGAGGGTGTTCCCGGTTTGTGTTATGTTTTATTAATGCAACATTAGGATGGATTCTACAACTGCAAACAATGGCAAAACTGTGCAAGATTATATTCATAAGGAAAGTGCAGATATCCCAACTTTGATGTATGTACGTAAAAAGTGAGTAAAGATAGAGAATATTTTGACAATCTGACCAAGTCACTCTCCAATCTTACAGCGATGTGGGGGTAACATCGATAATCTGACCAAGTCACTCCTCCACTTGACTACGGTGTGGGGGTAGTAATGGCTTATCGATTGATCCTATTAGTCTTCATGAACAGTAGTCCCCGGATGATCATTCAAGCTTATTCTCCCTTAGTTGGCCTTCATGGATGATAGCTTGCAGGAGGCTATTCAACTGTATCACTCTTGTTGATAAAATACCAAAGGAAGAGCGTTACAATGATTATAAACGATTCCCTCGATCATTCAGATATAAAAGCTAACTCTCAAATCTTGCTCAGGGGTCAGACCTCTCTCCCAAAAACCTTTCACATTCTACATAATCCCAAAAGGAGCTAACTTAAACGTTAGAAGGGTTGAGTCGAGAAACTCTCCCCCGACGCTAACCTTTGTATAGGAACCCATTGAGGAGATCGAAATCCACCTCAGAAGCCACCTTAAAAATCACCTTAGAGCCACATCGGACACCTTGATACTGCATCAACCGTCTCGCAAGACTATCACGAGAGTTCTTTGAATGCCCCTACACCTTCGGGTTAAGACCAAGCCAGACCGACCCATGGTCGATGATACTCTCCACACAACAAGTAGGATTAAAATAAACTTATAAAAATATGATGCATGCATTAGTATCAATTTCAAATTAAGTACTTTAGCTAGCGATTTGGGTTCAAAGAAATTAATAAATCAATTAACTTATGAATCGTAATATTTGATATCAGAACTGACCTAACATTTGGGTACGGTGATAAGACTCAAATAAAAAGAGACTATCTATGTATGGAGTTAGGTGACTATCATTGGGCTATATCTTACATGCATTATATTAAGATTTGATTTAGATTATGTTAAATCTTGACAAGGATATCAGATCCTTAATTAAAAAAATTTGTAACACCTCGATTAGTTCTATATTTTGATTAGTTTTATTTAAGAGGACGATAAAGGTACTATTATCAATTTTAACTTAAATATTTTGATTATGTCATTAATAATCTATTAAACGTAAAGCATCGCTATCTTAATTATTGTTATTACATAATCTTGTTGGCGACATAACAAAAGCTATTAGAAATTAGCTAAGACAAGCCATGTGTCAATCGTATATCATTGTTATGAGCATAAAGTTGTGGCTTCATTTGGTGGAAAGCATCAACAATGCAATACCAAAAAAATCCCAGAAACTTTGCCGTGTGGTGGCCAGATGAAATTTCATCCACCCAGCTAATCATTAACCATAAATGGGTGGGTTTCCAGGAATGCAATCATGTCATGGTCTTGGCCAATACAAGGCTCCCAATGTCGGAATCTTGTCATGCACTGTCCCCGCATGCTTTATGAACTACTGCTCAAATAGGAAGCCAGCCCAGTACGCCGACCGCTTAATGGTCGAAGTAAAGGGAAAGCAAGATGCAAGAATAGTCATGCAATCTAATCTATAGCTGCACTCAAATGCTTGGAAATATAGTGTTAGAAGACAATATAACCTGTGTGTCATAACCCTGAGGCAGCTGAGAGATGAAGTTGTGAGCATTCGAGGCCGTTGCAGCTGCCACCACCTCCTCCACGGTTGCTTCTTCCTTGCCAAAGAGCAAGTTCTCCTTTATGGAGGTTGCAAAGAGAGCTGGCTTTTGGCTGACCAATCCTATCTGTGACCTCAGCCACTTGAGTTTGATGCTCCTGATATCCACTCCGTCCAGCAAAATCTCACCTCCTAGTGGATCGTAGAACCTCTCCATTAACGCAATGACGGTCGACTTCCCTGATCCACTGCCGCCCACCAGAGCCACAGTTTTCCCGGCCGGAACCTTCAGATCAAAGCCTCTCAGGATGATGTTTTCCGGCCTCGAAGGATACGCGAATTCGACCGATCTGAACTCCACATCCCCGGAA